CCAGCCCAGCCGGGGGAACGGGAGCCGCGAGCACCCCCAACAACAACGGCACTAACTTCGCAGACCTGCTCAACCGCCATCTGTTGCCGAGGGGGACGTACCCACCACAAGAACAACCGCAGCCAACGGCGGCCACAGCAGCAGAGCCGGACCCCACCAGCAAGGCCCACACATACTACCCGCACTGGGACCCCCGCAAGTCTACGAGACAGCGGGCAGCGGCAGCAGCAGAAGGACGACGCCAACAATACCAAGCAGCGGCGGCAGCGGAACACACATCCACGGCGAGGAGCAGCACCGACCAAGCGCCACATGCAGAAGGAGGAGCCCAACCACAAGCAGCCGCCACGCCCGCCACCGCCACCCAAGGCCCAGCAGCCAACACCGGACAGCACGACGCAGCGGCGAACAGCAGCAGCCGCCCCCAGGGCAGCCACAGGGCGCGCGGGCCAGCCACCACCGACAACACCCACACCCAGGACGCCTCCCACACAACACAGGGAGGGGATCCACAACACGCGGCGGCAAGCAGCCACAACAGCCCACCTCAGCAAGGGGAACCGCAACACGCAGCGGCAAGCAGCAGCAGCAGCCCGCCACAGCAAGGAGGGGAACAACAATCCCGGCCCTACGTCAGCGACCCACTGTGGGACGGACGCACGCTCCGCCTGAGCTCAAAGGAAAAAAGCACGACCCCAGGCCCAGCACCCTGGGTGCAAACAGTGCGAGACGGCCGAAACATCGGCAAGCGGCCCACCCCTGCCACACCGCCGGCGCCATCGCCAACGCCGGCCCCACAGGGGGAACACACAGACCTCATGCAGCGGTACACCAGCAACCCGCAAGCACAACTCACGGCAGCGCAGCAGGCCCTTCAAGCAGCCAACCGCCGCGGGGAGACGCAAGCCATGGCCCTGCAACAGCAAATCCAGCTTATCCACGACACAGCAGAGCAGGTGGGGGGGGAGCAGGGGGCGGCAATTACGACATTGTGCGATGTCCTAGCCAGGCAAGTATCGCTCCTGGCACCCACGGGGGCACTCCCGGAAACGTGCAAAACCAGCCGTAAACGGGCGCTCACGGAACCTAACGTGCTGGTGGAAGCTCTGTCGCTCACCTCGAGGTTCTCTTTTTCGGGGGGAGCTTCCTTGACAGCGGAAGAAAGGGCTCAAGACATGGCCTTCCTTATTCGAGTGCTAGAAATGGGGGAGAGCCAGCTGATGGAACCTACCCCACCGGAGGTGGGGGACGACGCAGTGCAGGAAGCCAAGCACTGCCTCCGCCGTGCGCAACACATAGCCGCGCAGCTGCGAGATCGGGCACTGCGGGGGGAGCCATGGTGGGACCTTCCCTGGATCTCTGGGAGCACCTTCGGCGCAATACAGCTCCCGCCGCCTACATCATAGAACGCAGAGGGGACGCCTTCCAGGACCCGAACGAGGAGGAGAACGCCAAACGAGCGAGAAGGGCTGAAGGAGAACCGGCGCGGGGGAGCAATGACCCGGCGCCGGCAGCTCACCCTGCAGACGTGCTTGCACTGGAGACGGGGGGAACAGAAGCAGAGGCCAGAACGTCGACGAGCACCACGGCCTTTCTCTTGCTGCTCGAGGCCGCCCAAGCACTTCGTGACCTCACTCCCTTCTTGGGGGGGGACCATGCAATGGTGGCTAGCCAAATGCTCCACGCAGTGGAGCAAGTGGGGCAAGCTCTTTTCGGTGGTGCCTTGGCGACCCACAGCACCACACAGACGGTGCATGTGGATAGCCAGGACACAGAGCCGGCAGCTGCAATCGAGAGGACAGTGCCAGCGACCGCCGGCGAAGCAGAGGACCAGCGCGGGGGAGAGGCCCCACCTACGCAGACAGAGGAGTCTACGCAGCGAACCGGGGAGCGCCCGGCAAGCCCCCGGCCTGACACCTTTAGCCTGGGAAGCGACATGCCGGGAACGGAGACCGAAGATGAAGCCTTTGGTTTTGACCGGCGCCGTCGCACTGCAGCAGCGAGGGGGACCAAGACCGGATGGACGACGCTGGTGGGGATGACAGAATCCCAAGCGCAACCCTTCCTCACGGAGAGCCTGGAGGCGGACATCCAGCAGCTGGGGGAGCCGACGCAAAGTCCGCTCCGGCCCGCACCAGACAGCGGGGACAACGACGACCTGCCACCCACGCTGCCTTGGACAACAGAGTGGCACCACCAAGCGGGGGGCACCGACCAAGAGGGGGACACCGACAACCACGACCTCGGTGACCTGTACCAGAACGAAGCGGGGAGTGAGAGCAGTGACCAGAGCCACCGCAGACGTAGGCTGCATGCAGCGGGGCTTAACTAAAGCAGGGAGATCGCTCCCTGCGTCCAGACACCCAGCTGTTCGAAGCGACTCCAGGGGGAAAGCGGTTTGCCAATAGCCACTCGTACCCACCTTTTCTTTCCGCCTGCAGAACCGGAGAACAGTAGAGGAGCAGCTGCCATAGACGCTACAACAAGGAGGCCGAGGGGAAACTGCACTTGTACTCGTTCCTTGCAAGCTGTTGTTCTTCGGGGGATGTCATGTGATTTGTTGCTTCTGCACCGCCCCCTCGGCCACCTACTGTCGATTGCTAGCACCTCACACACTCTAGCTCAGGCCTGCTGGTTTCCAGAGTACTTCCTAGTTCTCCTGGCAGCTACCCCGCAGTTGACCCCGGAATGGGGGAATGTAGTTACGCCTTTTACGCTGCAGAACTCCCTCGCGTCTAGTTGAGGCTCTGTCGGGGGATACTTGTGATTATTTGCTTCTACTGTTGGGGGGTATTCTGATGCGCGGGTCCGAGCCTCAGTTCGCAGCTGTCGTGCCTTGTGAGTGTTTGAGCAGTGCAAACTTGCGTGGTTGTGACTGTGGCCGACAGCTCGCAGAGGGTAGAGTCGGGGGATGCCCAACTTGTCATAGCTACTTTGTTTTCCTTCAAGGCATAACCCGAAGCAGCGAGTTTGTACAGCCGAGCCTCCCGGGAGAAACTACCGGGGGGGAGCCCCAAAACCCCGCCAGGACTTGCGGGTGCGCGTGCGCGCGCGGGGAAGTGGGGCGTGCCCTGCTTCTCCTGTCCCGGTAGAGAGAGAGAGAGAGAGAGAGAGCTAATAAGAGCATGTTTTTTCTCGCTACCCCGAACAAACAACATCCCGCAGCTGATGCCTGGGCCCCCGCCTTAGTATGTTATTGCCTGATGCTTGCATGGTGAGTTTTCGTGTTTTGCTCGTCAGCTGGGGGATGCTCTTCTTTCAACAGGCCATGCATTGTAAAGCCGCCCTCGGGGGGGCTTCATTGTATAGCCGAGCCTTCTGTGGGAAATACCCACAGGGGGAACCTTCCTGCCAAAGAACCGCAGCTGCGCGTTCGCGTGCGGGGGGAGGGGCCGGACCTGCCCCGAACCCCAAGGCTGGTAGAGAGAGAGAGAGAGAGAGCGAGCTAACAAGAAATCTGCCCTGAGCCATGATTTAACGGGTTTTATCGGCCAAGCTGCTTGATTTCTTTGACCGTTTCACTGCTACTGGCCTTTGGCAACAAGAGCTTTTTGGGCCACACGGGGCATAAGCGAGTTTGAACATTCTTGTACACATGTGTAGATGTCACAGCAAGCATCATGCCGTTCTCACCTGAACTCGCAGTAGTGCAGTGTCGCTAGTGTCGACCCCTTGGCCAAGGAGCTGCCGCCTTTGCCAGGGGCTGTGTTGGCGAGCTCAGTGCGGCGAGATCGCAGCTTCTTCGATGTGCTGTCGACCAGTCAAGGTCAGGTGGTCGTAGGCTGCTCGCCCTGTCTTGATCATCGTCGTTTGTCAGGGAGCCTATTGAGAGGAAGGGCACAGCAGCGGGTCATTCGTCATGTGCAGCTTTTGCTATCATTATGATCCTGGGCACCAAGCAGAACAGTATGTAGTGCTTGCGTGCCTTTTTCGACGTGGAGACCATGCCTTCGCGATGGCTTTGCAATGGCGCGGGGTGCGATTGTTGCAGCACAGGCCGGTGTTGCTTTCTGCATTTGTTTGGGGGTGTGGCTTCACTCCAGGTCTTGTGCTGCATGAGCATCAGCCATGGCTGTACTTCTGCACTTTTAATTGGGGCACGTGTAGGATCGTGTAGGCAGGTTTAGAATACGACCAAGTGGTCAAATTGCTTCCTGGCTCAGGCACTGCCATGGAGACTTTGGACCTGTAGTCGATGAGAACGTTTGAAGAGGCACGGGCAGCCACAAACTACCAACCTGCCAAGTTTGCAACTCTTGGGAGCGCACAGGCCCTTGCTTCCGATGCCTTCGCCAGTTTGCGGAGGTGCGTAGAGGCCCCTGCGGTGTCACAGCTTCAAGCACATGCCAATGCATGGTTTTTGTTTGAGACTTTGCCGCTTGAAGGCTTCCGGTGAGCCGTGTGAAGGCAACATAATGCACACGTGGCGCCTTGACTCAGACTTGTAGCGACTGCGTTCACCAGTTCAAGAGCTACATCAAGGAACTCCTGGGAACCACAGCCAGACATGGAAGCGAAACAGAGGCACAACAGAGCTTCCATCTTCACTCGGGGTGTGCAAGATTTTGGAGCTCCCGCAACAGCCGTACAGGAACTTGTTCCACTTGTCACAGTCGCTGTGTGAGCAAAGCAGGGCCCCAAGCATGGCTTTCCGCCTCAAGTTGGCCGGGTACCTGTCTGGATTGTCCCTCGAGGATGTGAGCCCGTGCTTCTCGAAGTTGGCTTCAATGCGGGTCATTCCGTTTGCTTGATGATGCGACTCGGCCGAAGCGCAAGGATTGCTGCAACCTGCTGGCTTCAAGGCAGCAGCATCTGAGGCTTGCAAACCCGAGAGCGAAGGTTGTTGCTTTCGACCTATGTGAGCACACTTACACTAAGCCTTGTGCGAAGGCACGGTTTGACATGTGCACTGTGTCTGCATGAGCGTGTTTCAGACGAGTCGAACAGGTGCTGCAATCGATCTTCGGGCAGGATCGCACTGGCCTTGGCAGGCAGGAGTACTGTGTGCCGTATGCTGTCAATACCTGAGGCTTACACCTGGTAGAAGGATCCAGCAACGCTACCCTGCTGACAGCTTAGTTGCTTCAAAACAGCCGTGATGGTCAGGATATACCAGTGTCTCGATCTCGCAGTCGCGCACAGGCCGGAGTACCACCAGCGGCATCCGAATGTGCGGTTCGATCTTTTCCACGTTGACGGCGGACATCAGCGAGGGTCTTACATATTTCCTTGTCCCCGTACCTGTTCAGATGATGGTTGCCTACTGCCCCCGGATCTTAAGATGGACATCTCGAGCCTAGTGGCCTAGTGCTTCTTGCAGGTACAGGCAAGCACTGACAGACCTTGAAAGCTGTTGCAGCCTAAGTTTCGCGGCGCACGAGGGTGCTGGCATAGGTTGGCTTGGCTTTGTTCTGTTCGATCTGGCCTGATGACTTGTGTGAATTGCTCAAGGGGTGCAAGGTGTCTGACACCAGTTCAGACTGCACAACGCTGTGTTGGGGCTTATCTCAGAGCATGGCCTCCCCGCTGGCCCGGAATGGATTGAGATTGAGTTATTCGTGTCTTTTTGCATGGATCGTCTCTTCTGAAGCTGCTGGACGTGCTCGCCATGACATGCATGGCGTGGAGCACGCAGGGAAGATTATAAAAGAGATCCGTGCCGATGCCAGGCGTGCCAAAGACGACTTCGAGGGGAGGCGGCTAGCAGAAGGCTTTGAAGTACCACTCCGAGGTCTCTCACCAAAGCCCCTCTTGGATCAGATCGTGGACAAGTACGGGAAGTCCTTGCAGCATCATGTCCAGAGCTATGCTAGGGGCCGGAAAGACCGACGATTGGGTGGTGGGACCCTGTCGCAGTCCAATACCAACCCTATCCGAATCCACTATAATTTTGACACGCTGTACGAGGACAAGGTGCAAGCAAACCCTCTCCTGCGTGACAGGTACTGTTTCAATGAGGGTGACTGGTACCGTGTGAATTTTCCCACCGAGCCAAAGCCCACAGGATCAGGCCCAGATGACTGCAACCGTGATGCGGTCGCAATGGAGATCTTGACTCAGGACAAATGGTGCCGATGCACAGCTGAGGATGTAATCACTCCGACATGGCGCGACTTTGTCATTGATGCAGTTTACAGGCATGGGGCAGACATCCCCAAGTATTTGAATTTGAAGCCGGTGCAAGGGAACTTAAAATTGCGGAAATCAGAAGGCTCCTTTCCATCGATGTGGAGAACCACCAATCAGTTGGGCAGCTACTGCAGTGCTGACTGTGTGAAAGGATCGCATGTTGCTGTTCCGGAGACCAGATGAACCATCAACGCTTGTCCTTCTGGTTCTAGTTAGTGTTAACCTCAAGACAAGTCTTTCTAAATTGTGGCCTTTTCGAAATTCGATATCCTAAACAGAGGCTGGCTCGTCCGAGTTGTGAGAGCGTAAACAGAGGCTTCATCAGCCTGTAGAAGTAGTCGCCGAGCAGCCAAGGACGCACTTTGTGAAGAGGGTGTCCAGGCGGACGTCGTGCTGAGTATTGCTGGTCCGTCTCCAGTGCCTGGTATTGGAGGCACTGGCGGCTCATGCTCCGCAGATCAGAACGGAAGGCCTATCCACATTGTCTTCAATTGGTACTCGAGATATGACTTTTCCTCCATTCCACGTGAGACCTTGATGTCATCTGCAAGGGCATTGGTCATACACGAAGTGTTTCATGGACTGGGCTTTGGCTCTCGTGCATGGTTGAATGCCTACGGAAGTTCAGGGGAGCGTCGCACTCTCCTGGAACAGAGATGCTTGGATTGAAGTAGGTTTTGCAGTAAGTAGAAACCGCGCAGAAGCCAAGCCCTGACATCAAGCCAGGAAGAGTGGTTGATGCTGACGGATCCGAAGATGTAGTGTATCATTTTGTCAAAGGGACCCGCACATACGAAGTTGCCAAAGCCTTCTTCGGCTGCGATGACGATGATGCATGGCAGGGCCTGCCTTTGATGAGTTGGCCACCATATGGTCGTGACTCGCATCACGAGACGCGAGTGCTTCGAGATGATGTGATGGCTTATGGAAATGGTGATGCAGTCTCGGCCGTCACGCTGGCGGCCTTCGAGGACATGGGCCACTATCTTGCTAACTACAGCAGCTTTGCTGCATGACTCAGTGCCACACCAGATTGTTGTGTTGTTTCTAGAAGCTGATGAAGCCGACCGGTCTCTACGATGTGAGGCAATGCAGACTGTGTTCACTGGGGACAGGGCCGGGGGTGTGCCTTTGTTAGCAGCAGATGTGGCGAGAGGTGGGCTTGCACCTGGCTTGTGTGTGTGTGTGTACCCTGACTGGCATGCCGAACGCCACTCTGCGAGGCCATCTGTCCAAACGGTGACTGGGCTTGCCTCCTCCAGGTGTGACCGCACATGGGCCGCAGATGCTTGGCTAAAGGGTGTGGAAGCAGCGGAACGGCGAACCTGTTTCCTGGCCGGGCCTCGCTTGGAGTTACGCATGTCCGCCGTGAGAACGCCCCAAGGCAAGCAGCACGGACCAAGCCTTGGCGAAGTGTGTTCCTGGCTGCACGGGCAGCAGCCGGATCGAGAATGGAAAGTCATTATGTGACGTTGAGTGCTTCACAGGCGAGGCTTGTTTCAACTGTTGCAATGCGAGCTTCAAGGTGTCTGCTTGACATGTTCTTTGGGCGCCAGGCGATGCAAGCGTTCTTGACAATTTGGGGTATTCATCCTGCAAAAATGCGCCTGCCGGCGAAGTGGCGTCAGCAGGCCAGAACGACTTCTGACCAAGTGCATGGATGTCGGGCGCTGATGCCGTGACCAGGTCCAGAGCAATGGGCCAACGAACTGCTGGATCATGCTTCCAATCTCAAAGAGTGCCAAGAAGATTTCATGGGTGATCCTTGCATGCGAGCACTGCTTGGGCTGCTGCTCGGCGAAATTGAAAGCTGGCAAGATTTTTCTACACATCTTTTGACCACGTGGGCTGTCAACTTCGTCCAGACGTGAAGTGACAGAAGCGGCAGGTCCTGGGTCGTTCTGATCCCAATCAACATCTGCTTCTGGGGCCTTTGCTGCAAGAGCTGCCTCTGCCCTTCTGGGCGCCAGGCAGGGTGACGGGTACGCTGAGAGAGAACGCAGCTCTTGTCTTTCATCATGGGATGATGTGCGGACAGGAGAAGTCCAAGAAGATGTTCTACATTCTCACAACCATTGTGCTCATCTGTGGGCTCATAGCTGCTGCTGCCTGCGGATTTGTGCTGCACAATCAAGAGGCGCGCAAGCTCCTCAGTAGATCAAAGCCAGCTTCCGTGTCGGCAGGTCATCGAAGGCTACATGAGTACCACTGCAGTCTACGTGGTGCTAGCTGCCGGTGTCAGCCTTGCTTTGTTGGCCGGCTTCGGGATCTACGCAGTGAGGCACGCCGGACAAATCATCCCTTGCAAGGGCGTGGAGCTCTTTTCGTGTTTTGCCGCTAGTGAGGAAGGGCTACCGCTGCCTGATGACAATCTACCTGCTGATTGGCGTGGTCATGCTCATTGTATTCGTCTGCACAGCGGGCTTGTTCGCTGCTCGCCGATCAACCAATGTCACAGTCGCATGACTAGAACCTCGGTGCCAGTAGCCAGCACCATTTCGCTTTTGCAGGCCAAGTATGCGCAAGATGTGGACGGCCTCAGCAGAAGCTCCTTGCAGGCGCAGCTGGTTTGCAAGGCGGGCTGTGCAGTCAGCATGTGCAGAGAATTGATGTGCGAGGCTGGCGAATCTGGTGGGACCTGGTCAGAGGAGGGAGCCCACTCAGCCGCCTGGCAGCCTATTGCACCTGCAGCATCGCATGTCGATTGTGTGGACTTCTGTAGTGTGCGTTGCAAAGCATGTGTGACACGTCCCGTCTGCGCCAGGACCTCTATGCTCGGATGGAATCTTTCGCTTGCCGAACGTACCAAACATGCTGCTTCGATGCAGCGTATGGCTTGACAGCGTGACGTAAGCGGGATAGAAAAGTAATGGTCAGGCTGCGAACCAACGGAGCTCTTCGACATTCGTGCTGCTAACGGGGCAGCACGGCAGTGCCAGACACAGCACGAAGGCCTCGCAGAAGACGCGGTCCAAACCTCAGCTGAACAAAGTGAACAAAGCATGCATCTGCGTGAAGAGGAAGCTTAAGCGGCGATCCAGGCCTTTGTTCTGGCAGATCCTTCTCATCCCCGGTTCTGTTGCATGGCTGCACAGAGAGCTAGAACGGCTTTGGGGCCCTGGGGCGAGCTGCAGGAAGATGTGAGTCAGGTCCTTTGATTTCTGGTGTGGACGAGCAGTTTGGATCAGCAGAGGCAGTCGCAACTTGCCTGCCGTTCTGTGAGGCAGCCGTTGCTTGTGTTTTGGGCAGGGTGTGTGCAAGATCATCGAAATGGCAGCCGGTGCTGGCTTCACTTTGGAGCAATGCCAGCAGGAGCACCGAGTCGATCCAGTCTACTCCATGCTCCAACGTTTTTGCTTTTGTTTTCTCGTGTTCCAGGACTACTGCGCATCCGGGCTGGAGGGGTACGAGAATTTTATTGCCGTGACTGTCTCCATCTATCGCCAGAACATGCTAGTTGCAGGGATCATCGCCGGATGCGTCGTTCTCTTCATCAGCGTGGCGCGGACTCGATTGCCTTATGCTGTTTGGCAGTTCACACGTTTGGCAGTTCATACATACGAATGTGTTTAGGTTGAATTTAGGGACGTGTTTCCTCGATCAGGTGCAGCTTATGAACCTTTTCTATATCATCAGGCACGGCGCGGCTGACTGAAACAAGCTTCTGGCTACTCCGAATGATGGAAGCATTGCCGTGGAGGCAGACCCGCGCCGAGCAGACGGTCCAACCAATGGCGAAAGATCAGGTGGGTGTAAGTGGGTTTGCTCATGTGACATCCCCGACCATTGAACAGTTCCGTTGCCCGTCCAGGAATGAGCTGGCTTTCCCAACCCTGCACCCGAGTCCAAGATTGAACGGGCAGCTTGTACAGAGCTGTGACAGGCCGGACTGTCCCCAAGGGACAGGCAGACCTTGCCCCTTCAGGCAGAGATGTACATAGTCTCAGACATGGAGGTATGGGCCTGCCTCGGCAACCAGGTTTTGGGCCTCTAGTGCCGCCCAGTGACCCAGTGCCACCGTTGCTGCAGTCCACAAAAGTGGATAGCAGCGCCGGGCTCTGGCGCTTGACTCTTTGTCGACAGCGTCGCCAAGGAAAGTGGTTTTCAATGCATTCTTGGAGCCTGTCTGAGACTGAGAATGTCAATCCGAGGTTGTCAAATGGCACACCAGGACGCAGAGAACACTTCCATACTAGCCGGACCGTCAGTGCCGCCCGAAGTGATCCAAGAAGTCCTCCGTGCGATGTTCACGTCTCATAGGTCTTAGACGACACTGACATCACTGGTGTTGCAGCCGCATGGGCTGACTTTGTTGCTGGAGGCCTCAGGGGTAGGGAAACATCCTGCTGAGTCTGTTGCGATCTACACTGCGACCGGGGCTGTGGATAAAGCATCGAGACAAACGGCATGAATTTCTGGATCTCGTCTGGGGACTGAAACCGTCCACCCCTTCCAGTTCCGACGAATGCTAAACACCAGAAGCCATATCAAGTCCACATGTCGTCAACATTTCTTGATTGTGCGTGGGAGGATATGGAATTTACCGCTTTGATTCTGACCTTCATGCATCAAAAGCATTGACCGGTTTCAAGGGCCTGCTGTCGGTTCGCCTTGGCGCTTGGTGCACAGAGCGCCGTTCTGCCTTTCTCCGGTCCAACCACTGCAAGGCGATCGCGACAAGTCAGGCAGGACGCAACAAACAGCCATCGTTCACGGGGGTGTTAGAAGAGCAAGAAATAAGTCGCGGGAGCGGGCCACCTGTACGCGCATCGATATCGGTCTGGGAAGCGGCACCTGTTATCCTCGGTTGAGATGCAGAAATTTGGGCTGCCGGCCAGTGCTGACCTGCAGGCCACTTAGTTGAACGAGCGCCGCCGCATGCACTCGGTCGATACCGGCACGGCGTCGGCGAGGCCGAGCAGTCACAAGCCACTCAGTTTAGGAGCCTAAGCCAGTAAGAATCTGAGGTGATCCCATACGGAGCAAGTAGATGACCGGCGCCCAGCTCGTGTCAGTCTGATGATGTGCACGGCGGCTTCCGAACGAGCCGCCTCAACTGCCAGTAGGAAATCAGCTATGTCCCCCGATACAGGTGGTGCCTGTGGGTCTGCTGGTGCCGATTGGGCATGTGGCGGATGCGGTCAGGCGATCGCCGACTCTGTATTTTGTGGACAGCCGGCTCGCGCCTTTTACCTTGTTCCTGTGACATCGGCTGCAGCTACTGGCTCGGAGTCGTAAGTCGCCGCTGAGTATGTGCGGATTAGCACAGCAGTTTCCGTGCTCCGCCATGACTCGTTGAGGGAGCAAAGGACGCATGACTTGTTCTCACAATGCAGACATTGGGACCGCCGAGAGGAGAATCGTGGGCTCTGCTACAGTGGTGAACCTCATCTTGTTGCAGTTCTTGTCGGGTTTTGCATGGGCAGTTCAAAGGCCCCAGGGCTTTGTTGTCATTCTCTTTGAAAGAGCTGGCTTTTCAGGCCCTGCAATTGGTCTCATCTCCGCCGTAGGGCTCGTGGCACCGATTTTCACCGGCCCTCTCATAGGTTTCTTGGCAGATCGAACGGCAGCCCATAAGAGACATTATGTGTTCGCTTCGACGTCGTTGCTGAAGGCGTGCTGCCAGTGTGCTGTTTGGCCGGCTCTTCGCTTAGCTCCGGCGCGCTGGTCCTTTGGGTGGGTATTGGCATTGATGTGCATGCAGGCAGCATGCTCCCCTGGTGGTCTGTTAACAGAGATCACATTGCGTTATGTTGGGACGGAAACTTACGGCAAAGTAAGGCTGTGGGGAGGGGTCGGGTTTGCCACGGGATCCTTGCTGACTGGACTTCTTGTGCAGTGGCTGAATGCATCCATCGGCTATGATGTAATCTTTTTGGAGAGCCTGGCAGTTGGCTTGGCGATGTCTGGCATTGCTGTGGGTCTGTCCCGCGCGTGTTCTCGCGAGCAGCTGTTGTCGACATCAAGTGAGATGGTCTCTGCCCAAGGAGGTCAAGACGTGAACGAATCAGTCGCTCAGGCTTTACACTCGCGGCCAAGACTACGAGAATTGATGCGCTTCGTCACCTTACCGCGCGTAGCAGTGACGCTGGCAATCGTGGTGGCTTTGGGTTTCGGTGAGGGAATAATGCAGACGTACACATACGTGAGGCTACAACACCTGAAGCACGGATCTTCCACGATCATGGGTCTCAGCGCCGTGTGCATGATCATCTCTGAGATTCCATTCTTTTACTTTGCAAAAAACATTATCGACCGCTTTGGAATCATGCAGCTTACCTGCATTCCTGGTCTGCTGCCGGGTTTCTAAGCGAGATAAGGGTGCACTTGCTGCAGCGAAATCGGAGCATGCAGTCCAGGCCGATCATGAGTCTCGCGCTGTGTTGCACTGCCCTTCGGCAGGCGCGTCGTCGAACTGCTGTTTTCGCATGCATTCGTGCCGTCTCTGCGCCCAAAACTACCCCTTGCAGGCTTGGATTGCATGGCTTTGGGATGCTGCCTGGGTGCTTCCTGGAGAGCTGCTGCATGGAATCACCTTCTCGATTGCCAATGCGGCTGTTACGCTGGATGAGGCTCAGCTGAAAGGAAGCCTTGGCGCATTGTTTTGACAGGTTGGGGCGAGCAGGGCACGCAGCAAATTCCAGATAGGAGAGTCCTTTTGGTTCATGTGAGGTTCACGACATCGCGCCGGAACATCTCCAGGCAACGATGCAGAGCCTCGTGGGCTCTTGCTGGGTAGGTGTCGGTCAAGGCAGTGCTGCCTGGGTTGGAGGTCTCCTTCTTCACTGTCTGGGCGAGGTTGCACTTTTCAAGATATCAGCAGCTACTGCCCTGGCCAGCTCGCTCCTACCTGCTGTCGTCGCTTGCACTTCTCTTGCTAAGCCACCAGCGGCCACAGCTGCCCCGTCGACAACCACAACCTCGCCTTGATATGCCGGCCCCCCCCTTTGCTCAGGTAAACCACTGACAAAGTGTGGGCTCTCGGAAAAAGAACAGCTGCCGGATCAGGATCGAAGCCGGCATGAATCTTGCACTTGGAGTTGCTCCGTCGCATGTACTTGCGGCAGTGATTCGGACTGGGGCAAGGTGCGGCAGTTCTGAGTTCGGGGCCAGGCATGTTTGGCAAATTCTGTACAGGGCCACCAAAGCACCGAACCATCGAGCACAAACCGATGTCATCCGACTCTTAAACGCAATGGTTGCCAGCTACCGGTGGCCGTCAGCCACTGGCACAGCAGAACCATCCGATGACAGGTGCGCTACTGCGACGACAAATGTGGCAGCCCGGGCCTGACTACCTGCGACGAAATCCGATGAAAGCCCGTTATGATTCAGTTATGATGCGAAAAACTGGCTTTTATCAAGGAGTCCATTGGTCGTTGCACCGCACCGTGTGCTCGTCCCGAGCACGACCTCCTCCAGCTCTTGCACAGCCCAGCGAGGCACAGAATTTGCATCGACGGAGCCTCTTGGGATTCCGTAGAGCTGCAGGTCCTGCCCTCCGGCCTGCTTTCAAGCCGATCGGATGGAGTCCGGGCAGCAGATACCATTGGTGTACACCTTTGCATGTGCTTCGGTGCTCAGGTCTTACTTGCTGCCAAGAGCCTTTCCGTTGGTGACGTTCTCTGTTCAGAGCCTCCCTTGACCTGGCAACCTGTGCCTGCCATGCCCTTTGCTGAGTATGCTAGGTGTACGGACGCCGTGTGCAAAAACAAGGGGTTTTCGTGTCGCTTGAGGCGTGCAAGCCTGTGCGCTCGATGCGGCGCCACCCAAGCGCTGCTGCGATGTGCCGTATGCCAGCAGGTCATGGGAGCGATGTGGAAGACCAAGCGCTTAGTAGTGCTTACCGAGCCCGGCGCTCAAGTCAACCTTTCCGTCCCCATGCAGGTTAGTTACTGCGCACGTTGTCGCTCTACATCATCCAGTCCATGCGCGATGTGTGCGGACACCCGGAGCCCGACTCGAGCTCAAAAGTGCCAAAACCTCTTTGGTGCGACGGAAACTCGGCTCTGGACTTTGGATGTGAGCTCATGTGATATGTGGCTTAGGCCCGGAGCTGTCCATCACGCAAGGGCATGTCGGATGCGTGGTGGCACGTGATCTGCCAGGGTCCCAGCGCCCCACACAGTCCTGGGATCCAGTCAGGAGCCTTCACTCTCGTCGGCTTGGAAGCAACTGGCCAAGTTGTCCCAAGCTGACTTTCGTCCTCTTTGGAGCCGGCATGCCGACGATGCTGCGCTGAGATACTCCGTGATTGGGAGGAAGGTCGGCTCCAGCCAGGGGACTTGTTGAAGCCTTCTGAGGCACCTCGGCTCACAGTGTTCCTGCACGACTTCCCACCCAACGAAGATTCTTAGGTGGCCATGCAACAAGCCAGAGGATGCTCAGTCTCAGTCCAGAAAGTGGAGTTCTGAGACTTGCAAGGATCGCGCAGTCTGTCCTGAATTCTTTTAAAAGGTGAAGATTGCAGTTCTGTTTTTTTGGTCAAGGTTGCGCACTTCTGCTCGGCTGTGCGCTGGAGCGATGAGCGTGCTCCTGCAAGTGTTTGCTCTCTGGCTGTAGATGCCATAGCTTTGAGCGGAGGTGCTGAGGAGATCCTCGCAGCTGTGATCGCTGGGCGCATCGAGCACACAGCTGCCGGCAAGCCGGCTGTGACCCAAGAGGCAAGATCGGTTTTGCAGACACGGATTTCCGCATCCGCAAAGGTCGGCGTTGGGTACTATCCGTCCTTCGCACGGCTGAGAGCAGGAGCGACGTCTTGCGAGAAGGCTGCACCGTCGCCCACCGTTTCTTGCTTTGTCACCGTGAACCAGCTGCTCCTGGCAGGCGAACGTCAGCTTGCGGATCCTGCAGGGAAGCAAGCATGCCTTCACCATCCAGGCGCCAACACCTCGTGGAAGTAGAAGCGGCACTATGTGGCACTCTGGAAACCTTTGGGTCCTATATACCTATAAATCCATTCATAAGGTATTCATTGAAGAAATTTAAAACTTTGGGACGCGCAAATACTCAAATTACGCGATGGGGAATGGAAAGCCCTGGAGGCTGTGGTGAGCCAACCTATTCCTGAGGGTGCAGCGCTGCACCTGGGTTGAGCTGCGCGACGACCGGCAAAAGAACAAACGGGCGTGCACTCGGCCTGTCGCAAGGGAGAGTCAAAAGTTTCAGCTGAACTTAGGCCCAGAGCTGCGCCGACTCGGTGTCGTTCCCCTGAGGAGCTCTCGATTTGCTTTCTGCAAGACTCTTCAGGATTTGATGAATGCTCGGCTCGTTTCCGATAGGCGGCATCCGTGACATCGACGGGCTGCTCAATGCGCTGTCCAAGCGAACCTCCTGCCCCACGCCGATTTCGTTGGCCGACGTGTCTCTTGCCTGTCTGGCATAGCGGCCTAGCTTTCAGGTCACTGGCTACAAGCTTCCCATCCATGTGAAGCCGCACAGGCAGCGAGAACCTCAGGGGACTCAAAGCTGAAGAGTGTGCCTCCGTGCTCACTGCATGACAGGCATCAATCAAAGTGACCTTGCACTTAGTAAGACAGCCCGTTGTGGAAACTCAGGTTAAATCGCAGTTTGTGGGCCCCAAACATGGAGTATAGTAAACGTATTCAGGGGCCTGTCCAATCTCAAGGCTTTGTCCCTTTGTCCATTGTAGATTCGTGTGGGTGCAGAAGTGAGCTTGGTGGCGCCCCAGCTGATCAAGCATCCGTGTAGCGTTTCCCCGACGTTTTCTGCAACCTTCATAGATGTCCGCATCCTCCGTGGCCTGGCCGCACGTCTTCCCACTTGAGTGCACAGGGCCACGCCCCTTGAATGGACTTCGGAGACTGCATTCAGGTTGCTCCGAAGCTCTGCTGCTATGGGATCTGCTGCTGCGTCTTCCTCCTCCTGGCCGGCCTCTGTTGGAAGGAGACGCCCGATCAGGACCTTGGGAGGGGGTGCCTCGGGCTGGGCTGCAACCTCTGCATGTTTTGGATGTCGTTGTTTTTGCTTTCTCTCTCTCTCTCTCGCGTTGTCTTTCTCAGGACGTGACCTTGGAAAGTGGCCTCGAGGCAGCCCTAGTTCGATCATATCGAACTTTGTCTGAGCATCTCGTTTGCAGACATAGCCGGCGGCGGCTTCAGTCCTGGCTTTGTTTTGGGCAATACCTTTGAGCAAGAAGCTTAGGCACAATTCTGAGTCGCTGCCTCTGCTATTAGAGATTCAGGCAGGTGTCTTGTACCTTCAAGCACTGGTGCAATCGCTTACCTAAGAGGCCGTGCAGCCCTGAAAGGCATGGATGGAGCCCAGTTTTCGAGCCCTTCCAAAGGTAGCAAAGGGTCGGGTCGGTCCTCGAGGTGCTGCTCATTTGGTGCGACCTGGCGAATTCGGACGGGTTATTTGGACTGGGCTGGTCGTCGGGGCCCACAGCAGGGTGAAGCTTGGAGAAGCTAAGGCACCTGTTCTTCAATACTAATTTTGGCATCAATTTGCCAGGCTCTGGCGGACTTGTCACTTTTGCAAGATGCTTGTGCATCGATCCTGTGCGCACTTCTCACTTTTGCACGCTGTCGCCTCCCCAGGCCTTCAGAACGGCAATCCATTCCATCGGGATCCAGTGAAGGCTTGCTGACGTGGCTTTGCCAGTCGTCGCTTCTCTTCTCGCCTCGAGAGGCCTTAGCCGAAGTCAGCCTCATACAAACCAGGGCTCCGAAGCTGTCGCATGCGATGGCAGCCTGGGCCTTGGAAGCTTCAAGTTGCTGAAGTCCATTCCTCCTACCGGGAGGCGTTGCCGGCATCCTACACCCTGCCGGAGCTCGCCGCCTATGTGGCCGTGCTGCAGAGGACCGCTGCTGCTAGGACTTGCTTCTCAGTGAGGGCACACTTCCTGCAGCTCAGTTCGGCAGGCTCATCATAAAAGAGATCCGCATTGCCCTGAAAGCCCCTTAGCTCAAATCCGGTTAGGCGAGCTCGCCAAGAAGAGCCACAGTACTGGGACCTAGCTTGGTGCTCCGTGTGTTTGGTTTTTTCGCAGAGGTTGCATGGAGGCTACGTAATCACACCGCCAATGCGCTGCTTGCACCCAAGGAGCCGGGTGACTGAGCAATCTGTGAATCTTGTGTGTGTGTGTGTGTTTGTTTGTTTGTTTGTTTGTTTGTTTGTTTGTTTGTTTGTTTGTGTGTGTGTGTGTCTGTCTGTCTGTCTCTGTGTGTGTGTGTGTCTCTGTGTGTGTGTGTCTCTGTGTGCGTGCGTGTGTGTGTGCGTGTGTGTGCGTGTGTGTGCGTGTGTGTGCGTGTGTGTGCGTGGGTGGGGG